GATACTAATTTTGTGCCTGGACCCCAGTAGACACTAAAATATAATTGCTGACTAAATAAACTTTCTTTTATCTTTTAACCTAAATTTCACAACCATTCAGCATGGGCAGATGTGCTCCCAACCTTAAAATGAAACCGAAAATTGGTGAGTTCTCAGTGAAATTGGCCTGTAAGAAGCTGTTTTCAAGGGGTGCCTGTGTGGCTCAGTGGGTTAAGCATCTGACTCTGGCTCACAATCTCACAGTTTATGAGTTTGAGCCCCACATTAGGCTCTGAGCTGACAGAGCCTGGAGCCTGCTTCAGATTCTGGGTCTCCCTCCCTCTCTGCCCCTCCTCTGCTTATATTCTCTCTCTCAAAAATAAGTAAACATTAAAATATTAAAAAAAAAAAAACCCAAGAAGCTGTTTCAATCCATTAGTCAATAAATATTTATTGAGTAAATACTGTACTCAAACTATGAAAACTGGGGCTTGTGAGAGCATACAATTCCAAGAACAGTGGTAGTGGCTGGGGAGACAAAACTGAGACTAGGGAAAGGTGACCTCACTGGCTCCAACGGGGCTGGGTGTGGCTGAGAGTCAGAAGGGCAGAGACTTTTACAGGTTTTCAGGAGAGATCCCTTGACAGGATCTAGCAAGGAGGATTTGGTGAGAAAGGACTACATTCGGTGTTGGGACACTTGGGCTCTAGTTCTGGCTGAGGTTTAACTGGTTGGGAGACTTGGGGCAAGTCCCTTAACCTCTCCAGACATCAGTTTAGCACCCGGAAAATAAAGTGGAAGTGGGGGTGGTTATTGTGGAACTTGCTCAGTTATTGAGTGCCTTCCGATTCTTAGATTTTAAAATTCTCTGTCGGCCACACTTCTTTTTCCTTTGAGAAGGAAATACTTCCTATGCTTGGAATTTCAATTAAGTTGATCAATGGATTCATCACTCACTATACTCTAGGAGACTGTGCCATAAATTCACTCACACACACACACACACCCCAAGGGTTTTTTTTTTTTTTAATTATGTTTGTGGCAAAATATACATAACATACATATTTACCATCTTAACTTTTTTTTTTTTTTTTTTTTTTTTTTTGAGAGAGAGAGAGCACATGCATGAGCCGGGGGTTGGGGAAGAAGAGGCAGAGGTGGGGGTAGAGAGAGAGAATCTTAAGCAGGCTCCACGCTAGGGGCTCAATTCCACAACCCTGGGATGGTGATCTGAGCGGAAATCAAGAGTTAGATGCTCAACTGAACGAGCTGCCCAGGGGCCCTCCATCTTAACCATTTCTGTGCATCTTTAAGTGCAGAAATCCAGTAGTGTGAAGTATATTCATTACCATCATCCACCTCCAGAATTCTTTTCATCTTGCAAAACTGAAACTCTGTACCCATTAAACAGTAACTCCCCATTCCCATTTCCACCCCCACCCCCACCCCCAGCTCCCGGTAACCACCATTCTACTTTCTTTCTCTATGAATTTGACTACTCTACTACCTTAAATCGATGGAATCATACAGTATTTGCCTTTTTGTGACTGGCTTATTTCACTCAGCATAATGCCCTCAAGGTTCATCCAGGTTGTAGCATGTATCAGAACTTCCTTCCTTTTAAAGACTGAAAAATATTTCAATGTATATACCATATTTTATCTATCCATTCATCTGTTGATGGACCCTTGGGTTGCTTCCACCTTTTAGCCCTTGTGAATAATGCTATGAACATGGGTATACAAATATCTCTTAGAGATTTTGCTTTCAATTCTTTGGGGGTATATACCCCAAAATTAGACTTGCTGGATAATATGGTAATTCTATTTTTTAAAGATTTTATTTTTATTTATTTATTTAAGATGTTTCTTTTGGAGACAGAAAGAAGAGAGACAGCTCGAGCAGGGGAGGGGCAGAGAGAGAGGGAGACCAAGGATGTGAAGCAGGCTCCTCCCTGTCAGTGCAGAGCCCAATGTAGGGCTCAAACTCACAAACCGTGAGATCATGACCTGAGCTGAAGTCAAACACTTAACTGACTGAGACACCTAGGCACCCCAAGGTTTTTTTTTTTGTTTGTTTGTTTTTTAAAGTAATCTCTACACCCGACATGAGGCTCAAACTCACAACCCCAAGATCAAGAGCCAGCCAAGCACCTCTGGTAATTCTATTTTTAATTTCATTTTTCAAGTTTATTTACTTTTGACAGAGACAGAGTGCGAGCATGAGCTGGGGAGGGGAAGAGAGAGGGAGACACAAAATCCGAAGCAGGCTCCAGGCTCCAAGCTGTCAGCACAGAGCCTGACACAGGGCTTGAACTCACGAACTGTGAGATCATGACCTGGGCTGAAGTCGGACGCTTAACTGACTGAGCCACCCAGGCGCCCCTATTTTTAATTTTTTGAAGAGCCACCATTCTGTTTTCTGTACTGGTTGTACCATTTTAAATTCCCACCCACAGCACAAAAGCATTCCAATTTCTCCACAGTCTTGCTAACACTTATTTTCCTTTCTTCTTCTTTTTTTTTTAATAGTACCCATACTAATTGCTGTGAGGTGTATCTAATTGTGGTTTTCATTTGCATTTCCCTAATGATCAGTAAAGTTTAGTATTTTTTCATGGGCCTATTGGCCGTTTGTATATCTTTGGAGAAACATCTTCAAGTCCTTTGCCTATTTTTTAAACCAGGGTTTTTGTGGTGGTTGTGTTGAGCCGTAAGAGCTCTTTATATATTCTGGATATTATTTAGTCTTTAGCAAATACGTGATTTGCAAATACTTCCTCCCATTCAGTGGGTTGCTTTTCACTCTCTTGTGTCCTTTGATGTACAAAAGTTTAAAAAACATTTTTAAAGTTTATTTCTTCTGAGAGAGAGAGAGAGTGCAAGCAGGGCGGGGGGCCGGGGGGTGTCCAAGCAGGCTCTGTGCTGACAGTGTGGAGCCTGAGAACTCATCAACCATGAGATCATGACCTGAGCTGAAACCAAGAGCTGGATGCTTAACCAGCTAAGCCATGCAGGCGCCCCCAGAAGTTTTAAATTCTGATGTAGTCCGATTCATCTTTTCTTTCATTGTCTGTGCTTTTGGTGTCATATCCAAGAAATCGTTGCCAAATCCAAGGTCACGAAGATTTCCTCATGTTTTCTTCTAAGAGTTTTATAGTTTCAGCTCTTACATTTAGTTCTTTGGTGCATTTTGAATTAACTTTTATATATGGTGTAAGGTAAGGGTTTAACATGTGGGTCTCTAGTCTTCCCAACACCATTTGTTGAGAAGACTAGCTTTTCCTCATTGAATGGTCTTTGCACCCTTGTTGAATATTATTTTACGATTTAGGAAAGGGTTTGCGGCTATAAACTTTTGGGAAGCGGGGTGGTACAGGAATGACATGGTCTCTGTCTTAACAGAGCGTCAGGAGAGTTGAATATTAAGATTTTGCTTCACGGAGCATTTATTTGTCGAGTGCAGTTGAGTGCTCAGTGCATACCGGGCCCATGTTTTCCCACACTTTGCCTCTTAAGCTTCCCATCCAACCAGTGAGGTAGGTAGGATGAACCCCCACCCCCTTTTTTTTTAAAGTTTATTTTTGAGAGAGAGAGAGAGAGAGAGAGAGAGACCCAGTACGAGCAGGGGAGGGGTAGAGAGAGAAGTAGACACAGGATCTGAAGCAGGCTCCAGGCTCTGAGCTGTCGGCACAGAGCCCGATGTGGGGCTCGAACTCACAAACCGTGCGATCATGAAGTCGGAGACTGAGCCACCAGGCACCCCAGGATGAACCCCTTTAACAAACTCGGCTCCCCAAAAGAGCACGGTTATGGCTTATGCAGAGGCAGGCACAAAGTTAGGATTTGAACCCACGGTTCTTGGCTCCATGCGTCTCGCTATTTCAGGTGTTCTCATCTCTAAAATCTGGGCAGAAGTGAAATAAGACGGTCTCTATTGAGCAGCCCTGCAGCTATCCTACGCATTAAGGAGTCGCTAAAACCACAGTCCAAGCGTGAAGTGTAGACGTTACGTCCGCAGAGAACAGCCGAACCCAAACAGCCCAGAAGGCCAGAGTCCTAGGATTGGAGTCCCGCCCCCGGGCGGACCCCAAATTCTTACCCGGAACCTGGGCGCGGCTGGGCTGTGCGACTGGCGCGGGTGGGGGACCAACAACAGAAAAATGCCCGCGACCGGATTGTCGTTGAAATGCCCCACAGTGTCTCCGGAGTGAGGCTTTCCAATTCTAACAACGTCCCTGGAGTCAGCGCCTTTGCCTCTCTCCCTGTCACTCAGCTACCGCGGGGTTGTTTCTTCTCCGTTGCCCCTTCCTTGCCTTTCCTCTTGGTACGCCCCCGCCCAGTCGAGGAGAGGCCGGGCGGCCGCCCGCGTGGCCACTGCGCATGCGAATCCCACGGCGAGGGTGGGGGTGGGTGAGTGGGAGCACGGACCCCGCCCCTTCGCTGCTCCACGCGTGACGTCGCGGGGGGCGCCGGCCTCCGCCCGGCTCCGAGCGGTGAGAGCTAGCGGCAGGCGGAACCGACGCCGCAAGACCGGGAAAGGGATGTTGCGGGTGTTGAGTTCATGCAGGAGGGGCTTGGGGCGGGGGGAGGGGAGGCCCAGGGGCACCACCAGCCGCTGACCTCAGGCTCTGCCCTCCCCCTTCGCGCTTCCTCCCTCTTTCCAGATGTGTCGGGACGGGAGGCAGGGCAGGGGCTGGGCATTTGGGACACCTGTATTTCCCTGGAGCCTTCCTTCTCCCCCCACCCAATATGTTTATCCCGTCTTCCAGATGTTCCTTTTCATAAGACTGTTGCTTCTTGCTTGGCAAAGGGCACTCTCTCTACCTGGAAGCAGAAAACGGGTTTCAGACCTTGGCCCTGCCCCTCCTCTGTTAAAGTCCCCGAACCTCAGTTTCCACCACAGTGTTTTTTGCTTTGCTTCACCTAGTTTTAAAGATCATTATGACACAGAGAAACAGAAAGAAAATAGACATTTGTTGCGTCCCTGCAAGGCCCAAGTACTGTGCAAACTGCTTTATTTGTCACATTTAGTCCTCATTATTTGGTGTTCTTAGAACCACTCTTCAGCCTCCTTCCCTTCACAGATCCTTAAGCTCACAAAGGTTAACAGATTTTTCTCACATAGCCAGTGAGTGGCAGAGGAGGCTTCAGACTGAACCGTTTTTGCTCCAAAGTGGAGTTCTTTTCATCAGACACTTCCTTTGTCTAGGCTATTGGCTGGAATTGTTCTTCAGCCAAACCCTAACCCCAGAACAGCTGCTTCCTCAATTTCTCCCCTTGAGAACTCTCCATTTGGGTTCCGTTTTCGAGCACAGTGTGCTCTACTTTGCTTCTGCATTGATCACATCAGAAATGAAATACAGCAGACATTTTTTGAGTGGTGCAGGGGGATGAATACTTGGAGTCAAGAGCCTTGGGTTCTTGTCCTGGCTCTGCCACTATTGGCCGTGGATCCTTGAGCAAGTCCCCTGTCTTTTCAGTGCTTTAGCTTTCCTTTGAATAAAAATGGGTAAGTGCCTTCTGACTCTCAGGCTCTTGTCCAGTTCTTCCTTCCTGTCCTCCAGCAGGCTCTCCGTGGAGGCCCGGACCCCTCTCCTCCCCATGGGCAGCTGCCAGGCAGGGCACAACCTGCATCTCTGTCTCGCCCACCACCCACCTCTGGTCTGTGCCACTTTGATCCTGCTGCTTCTTGGCCTTTCAGGCCTGGGCCTTGGCAGCTTCCTCCTCACCCACAGGACTGGCCTGCGCAGCCCTGACATCCCTCAGGTGAGTACCTTCATCCTTTCCATACAGGTCTGCTCATGCTGCTAATGTCTCACCTCTCACCTTTCTTTTGCACACAGGACTGGGTCTCTTTCCTGAGGTCTTTTGGCCAGCTGACCCTGTGCCCCGTGAATGGGACAGCCGCACGGAAGTCGCGTGGATCTCACATTGTAGGCTTACTGACCACCTTGAACTTCGGAGATGGTCCAGACAGGAACAAGACCCAGACATTCGAAACCCAGGTCCTGGGTAGTCATATTGGATTGAAAGGTGAGATCAAGGAGGAATAGGGGTTGGGCATCGGAACACTTAGGGGTGGGCCCTGTCTCTGACCTCCCCAACCTGGTGACCTTAGGCATATCCCTTGGCCTTAGTCACTTCTGCTGTAGTAAGGGCTAGATACTTTCAGTGAACAAGTGTTTTCTTTCTCCTCTTCCGGCTCTGAGGTGGGTTTGTTTGTTTGTTTGTTTGTTTGTTTGTTTGTTTTTGAGAGAGTGAATATGAGTGGGGGTGGCGGCAGGGGGGAGAGAGAAAGAGAGAGAGAGAGAGAGAAATTCCTAAGTAGGCTCTGACACAGAGAGTGCAGAGCCTGACATGGTGCTCAATCCCATGACCTTGGGATCATGACCTAAGCTGAAATCAAATCAGACAAAGCCATCCAGGTGCCCCTGAGGTTTTTTGGTTCCATCCTTGGAGGTTTAATGAGATGGGGTAGATTTGACCTAATGTTTTTTCTCATCCTTCTTGATCTCTACCGCTTTCTCCTATTGGAGGCTACCTTCTTTCTCCTCGGGGATATTCAAGAAGCATGTCCTCCTTCAGTTAAGCAAGTGTCCTAAGTTTCTCTTTTGTTCTTACCACAGCTCTATGTGCTATGGACGATACAGAAAAAAATTGGGCATCTCCATTCCCACAGAGCTTAGAGTCATCTGGGAAAATGATAAGAGAGAGAGCGAGAGAGAGTGTGTCAGTTTATTCCTGCATGAGATTTGGCCTCAAGTTCCTTGTCTGAAACTGGGGACATGAAAAGGGAGGAGAGAAAGGTGGAACTGTCTGGCTTCTGAGGTCCTTTCCGACACTATCATTCTAAGCATCTCTTGTGAATTACATATGTAGCTGAGTGTGTCGCAGGGGGAGGTCTCTTATGTCCAGGTATACATATGTGTGATCAAAGGATGAGAATAAAGGCAGGTGTCTGATATATACAGACTTGGGGTGATTTTTCCTGTGCTTTTTATTTTCTAAATATATATATGAGAGCTTTGTTGAGATATGATCACATACCATAAAATTCACACATTTAAAATGTACAATTAAATGGCTTTTCACATACTCACAAAAGTGGGCAACTCTCACCACTGTCAATTTTAGAACATTTTCATTGCCTCCAAAAGAAATCCTAAACCCATTATCAGTCACTCCCCTTTTCCTCCTAACCTCCCAGACACAAGCAACTACTAATCTTGCTTTTTCTGTAGATTTGCGTACTGAACATTTCATACAATATGTGGTCTTTTGTGACTGCTTCTTTCAACCAGCATGTTTTCAAGGTTCATCCATGTCGTAGCACTTACCAGTGCTTCATGTTTTTATTGCCGAATAGCGCTCAGTGAATGAATAGTCCATCTTTCATTTATCCATTTGCCAGTTCGTTGACATTTGGATTGTTCCTACTTTTTTACTATTATGAACAATGCCGCCATGAACATTCTCATACAAGATTTTGTGTGATCATACATTTTCATTTCTCTTGAAGAAAATGAAATACTAAGGAGTGGAGTTACTGGATCATACGGTAACTCTATGTTTAATCTTTTTTTTTTTTTAAACGTTAATTTTTATTAGAGAGAGAGAGAGAGCGCGCATGAGCAAGGGAGGGGCAAAGAGAGAGGGAGAGAGAGAATCCCAGGCAGGTTCCACTCTCAGCTTGGAGGCCAACACAGGACTTGATTTCACGACTCTGTGATCATGACCTAAGCTGAAATCAAGAGTCAGACACTTAACTGATTGAGCCACCCAGGTGTTCCCATTAAATCTTTTGAGGCGCTTCCAGGCTGTTTTACAGCAGTGAATGAGAATTCCAATTTCTCCACGTCCTCACCAACATTTGTTATTGTCGGTCTTTTTTATTCCAACCATCCTAGGCAGTGGGAAATAGTATCTCGCTGTGGTTCTGATTGGCACGGTTAATGATACTGAACGTCTTTTTTTCATGCACTTATTTGTCTATCTCCTTTGGAGAAATGTTTATTTGGAGTTTGCTTGTGAAAAAATAATTGGATAATTTGTCTTATAATTATTGACTTCTAAGAGTTTTTTTTAATTTTTTTAATGTTTATTTATTTTTGAGAGAGACAGAGACAGAATACGAGTGGATTAGGGGCAGAGAGAGAGGGAGACACAGAATCCGAAGCAGGCTCCAGGCTCTGAGCTGTCAGCACAGAGCCCGACGCGGGGCTCGAACTCACAAGCTGTGAGATCGTGACCTGAGCCAAAGTCGGACGCTCAACCGACTGAGCCACCCAGGTGCCCTTATAAGAGTTCTTTATATTTTCTGGATACAAGTCTCTTATCTGAGGTATGATTTGCAAATATTTTCTCCCATTCTCTGGGTTGTCTTTTCATTTTGTGGATGGTGTTCTTTGAAGCACAAAGGTTTTAATTTTGATGAAATCCAGTTTATCAATTTTTTCTTTTGTTGCTTGTGCTTTTAGTGTGTTGGTTTAGCAGGCTTTGCCTAACTCAAGCTCACTAAGATTTACTTGTATATTTTCTACTAAAATTTTGTAGTTTTGACTTTACACTTAGCTCTATGATCCATTTTTGAGTTAATTTTTGTGAATGATATGAGGATGGGATCCAACTTCATTGTTTGCAAGTGGCTATTCAGTTGTCCCAATATGTTTTGTTGAAGAGACTATTCTTTCTTACTGAATAATTTTGGCACCCTTATTGAAAACCAGCTGAGCATGGATGTATATATGAATTTATTGCTGAACTCTGAGTTCTGTTCCGTTGATCCATATGTCTATCCTTATGCTAGCACCACACTCTTTTAATTACTGTAGCTTTGTATTAAGTTTGAAATCTGAAAATGTGAGTCTTCAGGGTGCCTGGGTGGCTCAGTCAGTTGAGCATCCAACTTCGGCTCAGGTCATGATCTCACAGTCTGTGAGTTCAAGCCCCGCGTCGGGCTCTGTGCTGACAGCTCAGAGCCTGGAGCCTGCTTCAGATTCTGTGCCTCCCTCTATCTCTGCCCCTCCCCGCCTCAAGTTCTGTCTCTCTCTGTTTCTGAAAAATGAATAAACCTTAAAAAAAAAAAAAAAGAAAATGTGAGTCCTTAACTTTGTTCTTCTTTTTAAAAATTGTCATTATTCCAGATTCCTTTAATTACTATATGAATTTTAGGATCAACTTCTCCAGTTCTGTTTTTGCAAACAAGCCCTTGTTCTTTTTATAATGGTTAGAACCAGAATAATATCATGAGAGATTACTCTGGACAAAAATAAAATATAACCCACCTATGATTGCATCACCTAAGTAATAATTATTGAGCACCTATTATGTAGCAAGCATGGGGAATATAGAGATGTATAAGACCTGGGTCCTCACTCCAAGCTGCTTACAGTCTAGCAAGGATACAGACATGAACAGAAGTAAATACCTTTCTTTCTTTTCTTTCCTTTTAATTTTTATTTGAGAAAGAGCTAAAGCATGTGCACAAGTGGGGGAGGGGCAGAGGGAGAGAAAGAATCTCAAGCAGATTCCCTGCTGAGCCAAGTTGGGGCTCAATCCCACCACCCTGGGATCACGACCTGAGCTGATATCAAGAGTCAGATGCTCAACCCACTGAGCCACCCAGGCTCCCCAAAGTAAATACCTTTCAATGTATGTAGTAGCTCACAAGATACAGTGGGAATAGTTAGGAAAACAAGTGAAAACAGGCTTTTCCAATGATTCAGTGCCTGAGCTGGCTTGAGGGAGGTTTAGGGCTTTGCTCTTCCAGCCAGAGGGACAAGCACATACAAAAGTATGCAGATGGGGACCGTAATGGCATGTTTGAGAACTTCAAGGGGTTCATTTTGGTGCAGGGGAAGGAGTGTTGAGTGAGTGGCAACAGATGGACTGGAGAGAGCAGACAGAATCCTATGGAAGGTCTTGTGTGCCAAGCCCAGGTAGTTGAACTTTAGTACGTTGGGCAAACTCACAATTTTAGGCAGAAAAATAGTAGGGTTTTGTTGTTGTTCTTTTATTTTTATTTTTATTTTTATTTTTTTTTTAATTTTTTTTTCAACGTTTTATTTTATTTTTGGGACAGAGAGAGACAGAGCATGAACGGGGGAGGGGCAGAGAGAGAGGGAGACACAGAATCGGAAACAGGCTCCAGGCTCTGAGCCATCAGCCCAGAGCCCGACGCGGGGCTCGAACTCACGGACCGCGAGATCGTGACCTGGCTGAAGTCGGACGCTTAACCGACTGCGCCACCCAGGCGCCCCTGTTGTTGTTCTTTTAAAAGATCACAGTCTGTTGGCTGATTGTCTGGTAGGAATGCGCCCAGATGGAGGAGGACCAGTTAGGAGGTGGTTGCAATAGAAAGATGATTGGTGGAGTCTGCGGCTCTTGATCTAGGGGTTGTGAGTTCAAGCCCCATGATGGGTGTAGAGATTACTTAAAAAAAATTAAATAAAATCTTTTTTTTTTTTAACATTTATTTATTTTGGGGAGAGAGAGAGAGAGAGAGAAGCAGAGAGAGGGGGAGACACAAAATCCAAAGCAGGCTCCAGACTCTGAGCTGTCAGCACAGACCCTGATGCGGGGCTCGAACTCATGAACCGTGAGATCATGACCTAGCCAAAGTCGGATGCTTAACCGACTGAGCCACCCGGGCACCCCTAAATAAAATCTTTGGAAAAAAAAAAAGAAGATGATAAGAAAAACTGAGCTAAAACAATGCTGTGAAAAACCGGGACTGATCTAAGAGACATTGGCAGTGTGGGATTGACAGGACTTTGGTAATTAATTTGATCTGGAAAACACTGAAAAAGGGGCATTCTCTTAGAAAATTTTACATGTACATTTCTCAGTTCTCATTACGATATATGTACTGGTTTCTATTTCTCTTTTTTCTCCTTATGACATCATTCTTTTTTCTTACTGCCCGGCCTGAATGTTATTTATTATTTTAATGGATGTAAGGTGATCCATTAAGTGGCTAGGCCATCACTTGTAATGCTTTTCCTAGTGTTAAACATCTCTACTGTTTCTTATTTTTTGGCATTTTTTGTGAAATCACAATACACATCTTGGTATACGTGGCATTTTTCTTTTGAATCCTTACCTTAGGATTAGTTTCTACAAGTGGTATGACTGAGTCCAAGGGTATGGACCTTTTTTTAATGGACAAATTCATTTTGTTGTGGATTTAGAGCACATAGAAGTATACAAAGCAGGTGTAAAAATCTTCCTTGCCTCAGGGTGCTTGATGGCTCAGTTGGTTAAGTGACTGACTTCGGCTCAAGTTATGATCTCACAGATCGTGGGTTTGAGCCCCCCATCGGGCTGTATGCTGTCAGCATGGAGCCTGCTTCATATTCTCCATCTCCCTCTCTCTCTGTTCCTCCCTTGTGTCCCCCCCACCCCCTACTCTCTCTCTATCAGAAAAACAAAACAAAAAATCCTCCTCATCTCCCCTGCACAGTCCACAGTTTGATCGGCATCTTCCTAGTCCCTCTCTGTACCCATTTGAAATTATGACAGAAACAGCCAAATTGTATTTTTCTGAAAGGTGTCACTCATTAAAACTGCCCATTTCCCCACATCTTCAGCAATTCTTATTATTATCAGTCTTTTTAATTTTTACCAATTTAATGAGCAAAGGAATTACCTGACTGTTTTAATTTACTTTCTCCCGATTATTAGTGAGGTTGAACATCTTTTGGTTTATTGGCCATTTTTGTGCCTCCGTGAATTTCCTGTTCATATCCTTTGCCCATTTTACTTTTATTTGTCTTGCGGTTTTGTGGGGGGAAAAAAAAGAAAAAAATGGTTTACCTTTATCTTCTTGATTTTTAGAAGATCCTTTTACATTCTGTATAGTAAACCTTTTTGCCAGTTAAACATAGGTATTTTCATCCATTCTGTTACTTTTTTTAAGTTCTCTTTCACTGTAGAGAAGTCTTTAACTGTTATGAGTTGTTTATTGCTCTCATTCTTTACTCAGGCTTTTAGGTCTTGTGTCTTTTTTAGGAAGGCCTTCCTCACTTTAAAATTAGAAAATATTCTTCTGTATTTTCTTTGGGTTTTGTTTTGTTTAGTTTGTTAGTATAGGTCTTTAGCACATGTGGACTTTATTTTGTAGTGTGAGATGAGTCTAGCTTTTTTTTTTTCCACAAATGGAAATCGTTCCAAATTCACTGACTAAATAGGCCATCCTTTTCCCGCTAATTTGAAATGGGGTGTGAACCTTTCAATGGATTTTGGTACCTAGTAGAAAGCTACTTTCTTAAAAAGGACAAACTAGTTTATACAGACTGACATTGGCAATGTGTATCTGCCCCAGTTTCACTGCAACTTTGTGAGTACTGGTATGATTACTTTATTGATTGTAAGCTAACTTAATTTTTTGTTTATATTGGTACACAGTTATTGTCATTTCTCAATGACATGATGATGGCACATAGAGTACTTTATTGAATAGCCTCAATGCCAAAACACCCGGTACTGTAGGAAACCTTAGAAATGAATGTGAGTCTGAAGATGGATGGCTTCCAACCCACCCTCCATTTTCTTCCAACCCCTCTCCTGTGTCTCTCATAGGAACCTCTGCAACAGAGCTGGTCCTCATTACAGCCAGGGTGACCGCAGAGAGGACCCCAGGAACCTGCCTGTATTTTAGTGCTGCCCCAGGAATCCTGCCCGCCAGCCAGCCCCCCATATCCTGCTCAGAGGAGGGAGCAGGAAATGCCACCTTGAATTCTAGGATGGCTGAGGAGTGTGTCAGGGTCTGGAGCCACGAAGGCCTTGTGCTCACCAAGCTGCTCACGTCGGTAAGAACCTCAGGTTGTTGGGGTTTCATAGACCGCCATGCTGAACGCTGTGTCTTGAAGGCTTCTGGAGGCAGTTTTACCTAACAGAAAAAGGCATAGGGCTCTATAATTCTGCCTCAGAGGGGGTGTGACCTTGAGCAAGCATCTGAGCCTCTCTGAGTTGTAAAAATGGAAACATCATCTGTAAAATGGAAAACATAATATTATCTCCTGATTCCAACAAATAAAGATGAATGAGAATTAATGTCAAGTGCTCAGGACAATGCCTGGTACATAACAGAGATTTGGATAAACGACAGCTATTGCTATTAATTTGTCTTTAAACAGAATAAAGGAATTTGGAAGCTGTAAGAAGGGGCAGAATGGGCTAATTGCTATCATAGAGATGTGAGCAAAGTGTTATTCAGACATGGAGTAAGGAGCAATTAACCCTAACTTGAACATTTATGGAGAGTGCTTCACAGAGAAGGTGGCATTTAAGAAAGGGAATTGTGTACAGTAGTTTATAATGTACCAAGTGCTTTCAAGTTCATTATCTCATTTGATCTTAAAATAGCCTTTTGAGGTAGCTGTTATTATCCCATTTTACAGATGAGGAAACAGGCTTAGAGGGATCGAATTGCCCAAGGCCACACAACTGGTTAAGTGGCAGACACAGGATTGCAACCTCTGCCTTCTGACTGTAGTCCCAGGCTTTGTCTGCCCTTTCACGGTGACCCTTGAAGAGGAGGAAGATGTGGATAGAGAATGCAATAGAGGGGGTTCAGGAGAGGGGGAACGCATTTCAGGCAAAAGGACCGGCACAAACACAGGCCTAGAGATTGAAAAGTGCTCGGCCTTCGAGGGCACTCCATGCTGAGGGGCTTAGGAATGACTGAGGGGAAGAGACAGAAGGGATGCAGAGGCCTGATTATGAGGTACCGTGATGCCAGGCTAAAATGCTACAACTTGACACTGTAGGCCAGGGGGTCCAGTGGTGCTGTGTGGAAGGAGAGAGACCAGTTAGGAGGCTGCTGTGTACTCTTTCCTCACACTTGCAAGGACCCTGGTGAGGAACATCACCTGGGAGTTTAGAACCAGAGAAAATACTTGTTTCCAGACCTGGCCCTACTTGAACATATTTAAAACATGGATAGTAGTGGACTTTCCTACCTCCTGGAGACATTGTGGGATTTCACGTAAATGGCTGGGCAAGAAAGCAGTTTGTAGACCATCGAGACAATTAGCTTATACAGAAATTACATTTTCTCTTTGGGTTCTCCTTCTCTCCTGGATGTAGAGAGCCCTCTCCCCCATGGGGCCTTCTCTCTGTAGTTCTTGGCCTGGGGATAAGATGTCTTCCCAGGGGAAGATTCTCCACCCTCCCTCTCTCATTCATGCCTCCTTCCCTTCCTGTGCCCATCCCTAGGAGGAGCTGGCTCTGTGTGGCTCCAGACTGTTTGTTTTGGGCTCCTTCCTGCTTCTCTTCTGTGGCCTTCTCTGCTGTCTCACTGCTGTGTGCTTTCACCCGCGCCGGGAATCCCACTGGTCTAGAACCCGGCTCTGAGGGCGCTGGCCTAGTTCCCAACTTGTTCTCAGGTAAGGTTCTTTGCCCCAGTCCTGTGGGAGTAGGGGATGGAGTAGGGGTGGCAATTATAACTGAGATAGAGTCATTCCTTAATAATATGGTTTGGTTTTATTTTTGAACTTTATGTAGATGGAATCACATGCATTCTTTTGTGACTGACTTCTTTCAGTTAACATTCTGATTTTTAAGATTTCATGCATAGCTGTAGTTCACATCCAAGTTTTTTGGTAACAGTGGGAGTCAAGAGGGTTCAAATTTGATGATGCATCCTGGATGCGAATTAGGGTTGTCTTGCTTTTGTCCTGACATCGTGATACCCATTTTTATGATGCAGCTTTTGTAAAACTCAAATTGAACAGCTCAAAAGGATCAGTGATGCCCATTTACTAGGCACATACTTTGTGCCCAAGCATTTTACATACACCTCTTTTCCATCAGCCTTCACTGCATTTAGAAAAAGTTGATTCTGCTAACAGGACCTTTGGAGGAACACACCTCACAAAGGTAGCAGTGGGTGGGGGATATATTGGCTAACAATTTCATGTGTCAGCTCATTAAAGAAAAAAAATTTTTCTGTAAAAAAGTCTCACTCTGTCAGATGGATCTCACATAATATGCAAGTTACCTGTTGTGCAGCCAACTCTTAAACTATTCTCAGCTTCAACAACTGGCTGCTGTGCCCTAGGAAATAACCTTGGGAGAAGCGGCAACTGCCCAAGCCCAGGGAGGGGCTCTGGCCAAAGGAACTGGATTGCTGAAAATCAACCTTGCTTATTTTGCTCAGGGCTAGACTTCACTGCCCTATCCATCTGCCTGGGATGGGAGATGGTGGAACTCTCTTAGCCTTTCTTAGATCTGAGTGGACTGGGAAAGGAAGCCTCTCTGGCTCCTAGCAGATCCTGGGGTCTTGAAGTTATCCACCCCAGTCAAGATAAGTGCTTGTACCTATCTCTAGCTGCCATTGCCTCTGCTCCTTCCTTTGCAGCCATCCCAGAGCTTCCCCCAAGGGCCCTGTGATCTGCCCTGGTTTTTAATTTTCTTTTTCTCCAGGTGTGAATCAACTTCTCTGGCCTTTGTTCTGAGTTCGAAGAGATGTTACAAAAAATGGAGAGCTGGAAAGTGGGGGGAAATAAAAGGCTTTTTTGCCCAATGTCGCCCAGGGTGTTTATTGGGGATTGGATGGAGGTGGGAATTTCAGGGCAGACAGGTTTGGGGGACTTTACCTTGTTGAATCTTCAGTTTGGGATAGAGGCTGGCAAAGGGCGTGGATTACTGCAGCTCTATCCTTTTGCCTTTGGAAAACACCTTTTGATCGCAGCTCTGCCACTTTATGTCTTGTTTTCTTGTATGAAATAAGGTCGATAGTTCCCACTAGTTGATAGAATTAGGTGGGTATGGTCATGGAAATGCTCTGACATAAAGGCTTTGTGACCTTGGGCAGGTCATGCAATTGTGAGATGCCTGCTTCCCGAAGGGATTTGACAGACTGAGTTTTCCTAGCAGATTCCTCGAACTTAGGAGCCCACGTCCTGGCTGTATGGTTACTAACCAGAGCAGTCCATTTTCCCGCCTTTTCCGAGCCCAGCAAGCCTCCCTCCCTTGCCCCTCCCAACAGCTACCCTACACGCAGGCGCAGATCACGGCTTCTTCTTTCCTTCCACTCGCGCCCCCTCAAAGCTTCCCCTAGCAACAAGCTCGGGCTCTCCGCTGAGGCGGAGCGAACGCATGCGCCGAAGCCCTCTCCACCGCCAGTTGTCGGACTGCGCGCTGAACTCCTCCCCCTTCAAGCCTAGCCCTTCTCCCCGCCTCCTTCCATCCCAGGGTCCGCGTGGCGGAGCGCGCGCGCACTCCGGCTTGGTGGCTGCACATCTCCCTGGCCGCGGCAGTAAGGATAGAGGGGCGGGGCTATTCACTTAGGGCTCCGCCCCCTTTGGCCCGGCGTCCCTACCGCGCCTGCGCGCTCCCGCCCGGTCTCCATCTTGGAATTGGGAGGAAGAGAGAGAGGGAGACCGGGACGAGACCGGGGCTGTGGTGCGGAGAGAGGCTGAGGCTGAGAAGAGGAGAGGGAGAGAAGGCGCGGGGACCGCCCTTAGCTACAGTCTTTCAGCTGCCCTCAGGAGAGGAAGGGGGAAAGGGAGGAGACCGGGGCGGGAGTGAGGGCTGTCACCCTCGGACCCCGGCGTGAGAGGGGCCGTGCGGCCGGACGTCCTCGGGGTGGGCCCCCTGTCGGTGGCCGAAGACCTGGGGCTCAGGCCCTTCCGTCGTGAATTTCCGGGCTTGACTCCTCGCTTCTCAAATATCCGGGTATCAGCCCCTCAGATCCCACATATCCAGGACTCGGGTCCTAACCTCTCTAAACCTGGGGCTCCGTTTCATAGGATTTCAAATATCGGGTTCAGGTTCTGCGTGCACCAGTATCCGGGGTTCATTCCCCACGCGTTCAGGTATCAAATTCAGCCTCCCTTCGTTCAAATATCTGGGGTTCAGACCCCACAATCAGAAATCCGGGATTCAGCAACTGTCGCCCTCGCGGAGGAGGAGGACTGGACCGCGAGGTCAGATCAGGTTGTCACCCCCTCCCCTCCAGGGGAGGCTTCCCGGGCCCGCCCCTCAGGAAGGGCGAAAGCCGAGGAAGAGGTGGCAAGGGGAAAGGTCTCCTTGCCCCTCTCCCTGCTTGGCAGAGCCGCTGGAGGACCCCAGGAGGAGGCGGAAGCGCTGGGGCACCATAGTGACCCCTACCAGGTGAGACGGGGTGCAGGGGCGCGGGTCCCTGTGTCTAGCATTGAGAAGAAAGCGTGCTCCTTTTTGAGGAACTGGGCCTGGGTAGGCCCTCTCCTCAGGATGAAGCCCAGTGGGCCAGTGGTCAGCCTCTGGCTAGCCGTGCCTTCTGCTGCCACCTTGTTCCTCTTCCTTCATAATATCTGTTTCATGGGGGACCTCAGGTGACAGGGTCTTTGATGTTATGGGGGTCACGCCCTAAGGTGCTTGAGCTAATTAGATGGGTTTGCACTCTTTTGCTCTTCCATGTTCACTTTGTCCCTCACAGCTACCTGTTCTCCATTATACCTCTTTCTCCTGATTGCTCTGGGGTGTTGATTCCCTTGCCTCTGATCTCTATGATGGGTCCACTTAGCTTTTTTTTTTTTAGGCATGATCTGGTTGGATTTCTTGTCCTTTGAAGGAAGTGTGTGTGTGCATTTGTGTTTGGGGATGCCTGGCAATATTTTCCCCCACCTGTATTGTTACCTTCCAACCTCCTGCTGATGGTGATACATTTGTCAAGCGGTCTGTCATTTACAAGTGTTTTATATCTGTTCTCTCATGTGACACCCCCCCCCATTCACCCTGTGGGGGCCTCTTTTATTGCCGTCTTCCCATTTTACAGTTGAGAATATTGAGGCTCAGAGAGGTTGCTCAAGGTCACACAGTAGCAGAATCAGGATTTGAACCCAGGTTCTTGATGAAGTTTTGCCCCTGCTCCATACCTGTCTCTTGCCGTCTCTTCTTGGCCAGGGGTCCAAAGGGGAATGAGTTGGGGTGAGATAGAAGAATGGGGGGTGGGGTGGGGAGAAGAGCTTCCTTTTTAGGAGGACTGTACTCAGAAGCTTTCCCTGATGGGAAGCTCTGGCTCCTGTCTTCTGTCTCATGGATTTTTCTCCCTACTGTGACCTTCATCTCTACCCTGATTCCAGTCTTTGGTCTAGGTTCCTGAGAGGGTTCTGTCTTTTGACAAATGATAGCCATAGTGGTGTCTTTTCGCAGTTAAAGCCAAGCTGCTGGGGTAGGATGATCCCCAAAGTCTTAAGTCATTTTTGTGGTGACCCTGGAGGCAGGGAAGGAAAAATCCATATGCTGAGTGTCTGCATAGTGTTCTTAAGGATGAGATCTCATTAAAAATCTCACAACAGCCCTATGCTGTAATCCGTTTTACTGAAGAGAAGACCAAGCATAAGGAACTTACTCAAAACCCTGTTGCTGTATGTTGCCAATGAGATGTACTGTTAGTGTAGTTTAGGGACAGACAGACTTGGGTTTCCCCATCTGCAGAATGGTGATAACATTGTCCCTTGAGAAGGTGGCTGTGATTTAGCACAGACCTTGGTAATTGCTCAAATGTTCATTATTTGAGGAAGAGGCCCCGTGTGATATTTTGTTGGCATCCTTACATGTGGCCTATGGTCCTGGGTTGACATTCTGGGCTGGGTGCTGGTAAAGAGGTCAAGAAGATTCCTTTGGCAAGTTGTGAGCACCTGCCTTTGTGTGTGGGTGTGTGGTGGGGGTGAGGGGTGCTTGGCAGGGTTGCTGGCAGGAGAATGGAGAAGGGGGCCGATTCTGAGCAGCTTGGGAGCTGCTGAGGGCTTGGCTGAGGGCAATCAATCAATCTCCTAGGCTATTCTGAGCCCTCTGCACCCTGGGGGCCCACCGGAGAGTCAGGCTTACTTCTTGCCCTCCAGCTTCCAGTTGGGCTGAGACAAAATTAACAACACAACAGGAAACAATGCCCGACAGAATATAATTACATGCTAAATTGTTAGGTGCTTTAAAGGAGCTAGAACTCTGCCCTGGGAGTCCAGCTCTGCTGAAGGCTCTTTTGTGCCTAAATTCCAACAAGTGCTTAGCCAGGAGCTTGGCCTGGCATTCCCTGGGGAAAAGGGGCGGGGTCCTTGGCTACCAGGTACTGCAGGCTCTTTCTCTGGGTGTTTGGCTGGGTGCTCTAGGAGCTCTCCCCAAAGGCTGAAGTGGTCAAGGGAGGCTTCCTGCAGGAGGGGGCTAAGAGAGTAATAAGCACACAGGCCTGATTGGAGAGAAGGTCCTCTTCTCTGACCTTGAAGAAGTCCTCCTTCCTTTCTATGCCTCAGTCACCTCATCTGTGAAATGGTGATCCCTATCCTGCCCTGCTTGTTTCATAGCGCTGTTTTAAAAACAGTGGTAGAGGGCCAGCTTTGGATGTCACTTAACCTTTCTGAGCCTGTTTCCTCATTGCAAGATAAGGGTACCCCGATAGTAATACCTCACAAGGTTGTGGCAAGGGTTGAATGAGAGAGATGCATGTAAGGTGCTTACACTACATGCTCAATAAATGTTATTTGTACACCACAAATGTCCTGTACCTGTGTGTGATGCATATGCAATTGGACTGGTCAAGTAAGACAGCCCAGGCCACAGAGAGGTCCCCAAAGCCAGCCACCATTTCTGTCCCTGTCCTTCCCATCCTCCCTGCCACAATGTCCCTAGCCCTTTTTGAGAGCAAGTCTTCTGGCCCTTCTGGGCCAATACCCACTTCTAACAATGGCCGGATTTCCACTACCTCCGGCCTGGCCGTTTCCTGCTCTCTTCCAGGGTGTGAGAGGTTGAGGGAGGAGGGGGCCTCGACGCCAAGGGGAACAGGAAGGTGCCTGGAAATATTTGGGGTATGGGACTTGTGGGACAGGACACTTGGGAATCTGGGGTTCTGGCTAGGAGGTGGGATCTTTTATTCTTGAGGGGAGAAGTAGGGGGGTTGTAGGGAAATGGATCTTACTGAGGGCTGAGGGGGGTGGTGAGGATGCTTAGCTCTCAGTCTTCCTAGCAGTTTTAGGGACTCCAGGGACCCGGCCCCCGTGCTCTGGTTGCTAGGGCAACTTCATTTTTTTGGAGGTTTGATGTTGTTCCTAATCTCCCCCCTGCCCTTCCTCAGCGGTGCCTCCCCCTCATCAGGGAACTAGGGGAGGAGAAGGCAGAAATTTGAGGGGTCCCTGCCTCTCTCTGAGTGTCTCATCTTCGCTGTAAGGGTCCCCTCTTCATTCTCCAGGTCAGGCCCCACTCTCAGGGCCCCCAGGGGCCATCATGCCAGCTGGGGGCCGGGCCGGGAGCCTGAAGGACCCTGATGTGGCTGAGCTCTTCTTCAAGGATGACCCTGAAAAGCTCTTCTCTGATCTCCGGGAAATTGGCCATGGCAGCTTTGGAGCCGTGTACTTTGTAAGTTGGGGCGTAGGAGAATGGGGTAGGGATGGGCACTGCATTCTTCCCCCTGTGGACCTCCAAGCCTCCTTCTGCGCTGCCATACCACACCAGCCTTTCCCGCCCTCTCCTTTTGGGCCAAAAAAATCTTCCTGCTGCCCAGTTCTCACCAAGGGCTTTCACCAGCTTCTGGTCTGGTCTTCTAGGCCCGAGATGTCCGGAATAGTGAGGTGGTGGCCATCAAGAAGATGTCCTATAGTGGGAAGCAGTCAAATGAGGTGGGTCAGGTTTGACAAGAATGGTAAGGGACAGAGCAGGGGACCCCAGGCTCAATGTGCGGGCTGAGTAAACCTCTTCTTCCCTGACCTCCTCTCAGAAGTGGCAGGACATCATCAAGGAGGTGCGGTTCCTGCAGAAGCTCCGGCACCCCAATACCATTCAGTACCGGGGCTGTTACCTGAGGGAGCACACGGCTTGGGTGAGCTAGCCCACTGAATCTGGCCTGATCTTTGCCCCCATCCTTGTCCTGGTCCAGTCTCTTAGTGGGCCCTGTTCCAGGTGCCATTATGGGACCTTGGAAGGGAGGAAGTCTCTCCCAACCTCTTTAGTCCTCAGGCAAACCCATGGACAACAGTGTCTCCAGAAAGAGAGGCTGGTTTGAAGAGAGTCATAAACTGTTAGTAGTTGGAAAGGGGCATATGGGCTGGAGGAAATGGAGATGTAATGGGGCTTTGAAAGGATTCAGATGGGAGTTGTGGTATCTTGTCTCCCCTTCCTAGGGGAGGCCCTGACTAGGAACTCTCCCACCACCACCACCACGTTTTCTCAGTTGTCCTTCCTCTTTGTCTTCACCCTGGAGGTAATGCCTGAGTGAAGGATAGGCAGAGAAGCTCTCTGTTTGGATCTCTGCCCAAGAGAGGTGGGCCAGGGGTGACCAGATGTGCTTATCTCTGACCCTTCACCCTTTCTTAGCTGGTGATGGAGTATTGCCTGGGCTCAGCTTCTGACCTTCTAGAAGGTAAGTGGCTCTTTGGCCAACAAGTGGGAGAAGTGAGAAGAGCAAAGAAGCTGTAGGGAAAGGGATCAGGGGAGCTTGTTCCAGCCCCACCCTTGGGCTCCCTCAGTTTGATGTTTTTCCCTCACTCCCCAGTGCACAAGAAGCCCCTTCAGGAGGTGGAGATTGCAGCTGTCACCCATGGGGCCCTTCAGGGCCTGGCTTACCTGCACTCCCACAACATGATCCATAGGTACAAGGAACATTGACAATGGCTGGGAGGGGGTGCGCTCTACACCACTTATTCAGCTGGGCTGCAGCCTTCTTGGAAACCTGGTGCTAAAGCCCCTTGCCCAGCCTTCCTGAGATGTATGCCTCATCCTTGTGCTTCATCTCCGGCAGGGATGTGAAGGCTGGAAACATCTTGCTATCAGAGCCAGGCTTGGTGAAGCTAGGGGACTTCGGCTCTGCATCTATCATGGCACCCGCCAACTCCTTTGTGGGCACCCCGTACTGGTGAGTGGGATGGTGGTGAGTGGAGGGAGCCCCTAGGATGTTGGGAGCAATAGTTGGCAGAGTCTGGGCAGGTGATAAGCCTCTTTCTCCTGACCATTCTCCCAGGATGGCTCCAGAGGTGATCCTCGCAATGGATGAGGGGCAGTACGATGGCAAAGTGGATGTCTGGTCCTTGGGGATAACCTGCATCGAGCTGGGTAAGGACGACATCCTCTGTTTCTTCATCCTCTTTTCTCTCCACTGCTTTCTCTTTCTCTGTCTGTTTCCATCCCCATACCATTTCATCCTCAGGCCTCCAAGCTCCTGTCCATTTTGACTGTACCCTTGACCCCCAAGTCAGGCAGCTGTCAAATCCTGCCAGTTCTTAGACCTAAGGATATCAGAGCATTCTTTTCCTGTCCACTACTCTAGTTTTACTTTTTTTTTTTGAGTGCTAGCTTTGTACCACGCTATGCTAGCAGGTTTTGGGGGTATAGCAATGAATGAGGTTCTTGGCCTTGTGGAACTTACATTCCAGTTAGGGAAACAGATGTGTTTTCTCTTACTGGGACAGAAGCTGAATGGAGGTTACAGGAGCAGTACAACCATAAAGCAAGAGACTTGATCTATTTCAGGGGCTAAGGAATATCTTACAGCAGATATCTAAGCAGAACCATAAAGTAGATAATAGCTGTTTGAAAGACTATAGGGAAGAGCATTCCAGATAGGTAAGAGCAGGCGTGCGGAGCTGAGACTGGCTTCAGTTGTTTGAAATATTGCAGGTAATGCCATGTAAAGAGCAGTGAATGATGAGGCCAGAGAGTAAGGCTCACGTGAGTTCATGAGGCCTTGAAGCCTGTCCGGGTTCTCGTCTCTGCCAGCCTATGCTACTGAAATTAACTATTAGTGAGGTAATGTTTGTAAAGCCTCCAACACAGTGCCCGGCACAGACAGTTGCCCAAGAAAAGAGATGCTGTTAGTCTCTCTTATCAACAACTTCCTGCCATGATCTTTCCTACCTCCAGTCTCTTCTTCCCTCCAGTCTCTCTTATGTCAGAGAGATCTGCCCTAGCCGGGTGCTGTTGCTTCGCTCCCCTCCTCAGAGCCATCAGTGCTCCCCATTCCCTTCAAGACCTATGCCATCCCTGCGCTTCCTTCCACCAAGCTAAAAGCCCCGCTTTCTGAAAGTTGGCTCTCACCTTTGTAAGCTCCACACCCTGAGTGTGCCATGAACTTTTCCACTTTCTTAACTTGGTTTGTATTTTGTCTTCTGCCCGAAGTCCGAGATTTGGACACGCCCTTTCCCTCCATGTCCACATACGTGCATTTGTCACTCGAGACCACAGCTGGGCAGGTGATGCAAATACATTGGAACAAGCCAGGTAGAAGAAAAATATAGAGCTGTCCATTTTATTCCTACTTTTTGGTAGAGATGTGGACGCCGAGAAATATTTCTCTGTTATTGAAAAGAAACCACCAGTCCTGGTTATAAGCAGATAGTGCGTATCAAAGAAGTAATGTGAAAAAGATTACGGCAAACTGGAGACTGCTATTGCTTTGCTCTAGCCCATCGTTATGCGTAAGTGTCGGCTCCTTTTCACCACATCTAAGTTTTTAGAAGAAACCGGACATTTAGGGTATTATTACTAAATTGCTAGGTTGGAATGTAATTTAAAAATTGCTATTTGGGCCAAAAACATAACAAAACATTTGTCTGGGCCTCGAGGAGCTCCTGGCTTGCAACTTCTAATCTAAGGCCCAGCTCCAATATCCCTTTTTCCAAAAGACCTGCCCTTAATCCCCTGTACACCTACCAGCTTGAGAACCCACATGCACTCCCAGCTTCCCAACCATTTTTCTGTCTGCCTCTTGTAACTTGATAGTACTTGTTGAGTTTTACTTAATCTTTCCTGTTAGGCTAGAGGTTCCTTGAGGACAGAGCCTGTTTCTTGTTTTTCCTTATCTTTCCCTTAACACTTAGCAAGTTTTTTGCTCTTACTTGGCACCTAATAGAATGTTAGTTGGGCTGATAACTGCTTCTTTCTGCCTTTGATCTCTATTCCATTGTATACAGGGGAGAGGATGGGTGTTACATTTTATGGAGGAAATTAATTGAGATGATGAGAATTGCTCAGGGCCATACAGCAAGGAAGTCAGGGAGCTGGGGTGTGAACCCAAATCCTCTGATTTCCATTCCACTCCTCTGCCCATCTGCCACCTCTCACCTTCTCCCTGTTCACCTTTCTCTGTAGCGGAACGGAAACCACCGCTGTTTAACATGAATGCGATGAGTGCCTTATACCACATTGCACAGAACGAGTCCCCCGTGCTCCAGTCAGGACACTGGTGAGGACTGGGATTCCTGGGCCCAGGGGTTAGGCCATAGGGTAAGGCTACCTGGCTTATGGCCTCCCCCCCTTCCTCATCCTCCCATGACTTCTAGGTCTGAGTACTTCCGGAATTTTGTTGACTCCTGTCTTCAGAAAATCCCTCAAGACAGACCAACCTCAGAGGTTCTTCTGAAGGTAAGGGCTCACTGGCCTAGCATTCTCCTAGAACTGTTGCCTGTTAGAACCACAAAACCCTTCAGTGAAATTAGTGATTCCCAGCTCTTCCTCCACCAAGAACTTCATGTATGAATTCCCACCCTCATTCCCAGTGCCCAATGGACTCTGTGTTTTGCAAGATTTTGTCTACCAGACTGTCTTTATTTATTAAGTAATAATTTGTTTTCCCATCTCTTGTTAATCAAAGACGTATATAATTGCCAGCCAGAGCTTCTGGTCTGCGTGCGATAACCAGGGTTACCACACTGATCTGATGTAATTCAAGCCAAAAGCCTGGGTAGCCTTGTCATGGGTAAATGTATGATTTCCCTTAGGTGTGTTTTGAGATATCAAAAGTAGAGGGGCCCCCATTCCCTTCACAGATCCATGGGGCCTAAGGAGCCCTCGTTGGGAACTGATGTAGACAGTCTAGTTTGACCTACTTGTTTTATAATTGTGGGATACCTTATGAAATCCAGAGAGGCCTCATGACATGTCCAGGGGCACACAGCATGTTGATAGAGGACCTGGACTAGAATCCAGATCTCCTGACTGTTCTTGTCTGTCAGCTGTGCTTGGAGGAACAGGAGCCTGTCTGGGGAGGGGTGATTGGGTGGTGAAAATGTGGGGGCAGGGCTTACCTAGCACAAGGCCAGCATCAGCTCCTGGTGGGCATGGGCCCCAGGGAAGTTCCTCAGGCCAGAGGGAGTGTCAGGGCCCATGGGATATTTGGGGTGGGGGTAGGTGCTCTGCAGCAGGCCTCAGTGTTCTCTCCCCTCAGCACCGCTTTGTGCTCCGGGAGCGGCCACCCACAGTCATCATGGACCTGATCCAGAGGACCAAGGATGCCGTGCGGGAGCTGGACAATTTGCAGTACCGAAAGATGAAGAAGATACTGTTCCAAGAAGCACCCAATGGCCCTGGTGCTGAAGCCCCAGAGGAGGAGGAGGTGACCCAGCTTACCCTGCCACCCTTTTTTCCCCACTGTGTTTTGCTTGCCTCCTAGCAGTTGCTTGGCTCACCTTCCCTCTCCTTCCTCCTGCCCTCTGTCTCCCTGTGCTAACTCCATATACATACCCCTTATCCTTCCCCTTCCCTGCCCAACAGCCTGCGCCCTGTCCACAGGAGGCCGAGCCCTACATGCATCGGGCTGGGACGCTGACCAGTCTAGAGAGTAGCCACTCAGTGCCAAGCATGTCCATCAGCGCCTCCAGCCAGAGCAGTTCAGTCAATAGCCTAGCTGATGCCTCGGACAACGAGGAGGAAGAGGAGGAGGAGGAAGAGGAAGAGGAGGAAGAGGAAGGCCCTGAAGCCCGAGAGATGGCCATGATGCAAGAAGGGGAGCATACAGTTACCTCCCATAGTTCCATCATCCACCGACTGCCGGTATGCAGCTCACCCTCAGGAGGCCTGATGGTGACAAGGCCGAGCCCCAGCTCTCCCTCCCAAGTGTGATTGCTCCTCCTCTAAGTCAGACTGGGTCTCCAGGGATCTCCTCTTGGGCCCAGTGGCCTCTGAACCTTGGGCATCCCTTTCACCTTCCCTTCCTCTAGGGTTCTGACAACTTGTATGATGATCCCTACCAGCCGGAGATGACCCCAGGTCCTCTCCAGCCACCCGCAGCCCCAGCTCCCACCTCTACCACCTCTTCTGCCCGCCGCCGGGCCTACTGCCGCAACAGGGATCACTTTGCCACCATCCGTACTGCCTCCCTGGTAAGTGTAGCCATCCTCCCTCAGCCTGGATGTCCCAAACTCTTAAGTCCAGAGATGATTTGTTTTTCCCCTCTGGCACTGGATTAAGTTCAGATTCCGCTCTCACTTTTTGTTGCCGTCTTTCACTTTCTCCTCTCCTTGACCCTCTCCATTCTCTTCTCCCAACGGACTGTTTTGGTCACATTGCCCGATGTGGGTATTCCTAGTTTGATAAACTCTTCCTCCATTTTCATGGCTAGGCTTAAGTAGCATGTCCTGGGGTGCCTTCCCAGGCCCTTGACCAGCCAGGTGTATCACATCCCTGTGCTATGGTGCTTCTAAATGACATTATGATAGGTGTGCTGGATTTTATGCTCCTGGAGGGCAGGAATAGTGGCCAGTGTCTGCCTCATACCATGATTAGCTCTCAGGCTCACACACATGCCTGAGTATTTCATCCTTCCAGCTCCTCTGGAGAGAGAGGGTATGGTCCCAGTTGAGAGATGAGGCAGTGGTGACTCAGACATTCTGCTTGTCCAAGGCACTTGCCGAAACACCTTTGGTGGTTTTCAGATTCTCAAATTAAGCAAGACTGGTTTTCCTAAGATCAAGTCATGGTAATGTTTTTCTCAGTTCACAGGAAAAGATGGGTAGACTTTTCATAAAACACAGTCTTTCATCCATACTTTGAGTAAACCTTTAGATTTCATTCTTGCTTAGTTGCAAACACCACCGTTAATTCCGTTATGGGTCAGTGATTGGTCTAGTATATTCTTATGGGACAGCCCTTCAGATCCTGTGATGCTTAGTGCTTTATTGTACTGTGTAGAAAGGTCCAGGGTTTCCTGGACCTGATTTCCGGTCCCTGATTTCCAGGGACTTGGCCACCTGGACTAGTTGGAGTTGTGCCCACTTGACAATGGGACCTGAGTTCAGAGTGTTAGTTCAGAGTGTTCTAGACGCTATTATGCATGTATCAGGCGTAATCTCCACAGCTTTCTGTGGTATTGTCCCATTTAGCAGATAAGGGAACTGAGGCTAGTGTCATTAACTTGCTTGAGGTTACCTGGTTAGTAAGTGACCAAGCTGGGGGTTGGGCCCAGGTATGTTTGACTTTGAACTAACCTGAATTGTTGCCACTTTTGCATCGGGCCCTGCGCGCGGCACCTTTTATCGACTCATTCAGTGATATCAGCGTGTGAAATAGACTGTATCTCCATCATCCAGTGGAGGTGGCAGACTCAGAGGGGCTACGTGTGATGAAGGCACCAAATGAGAACCGAACCCATGAGTCTGAAATCCGTGTTCACCAATAGAGCATGAAAACCATGTGAGTAATGAGATGAGGCCAGGACTGAGCCCCACTTCTCATCCTCTGTCCTGCCCCAGGTCAGCCGTCAGATCCAGGAGCATGAGCAGGACTCAGCCCTGCGGGAGCAGCTGAGTGGCTATAAGCGGATGCGACGACAGCACCAGAAACAGCTGCTGGCCTTGGAGTCACGGCTGAGGGGTGAACGTGAGGAGCATAGCGCACGGCTACAGCGGGAGCTTGAGGCACAGCGGGCCGGCTTTGGGGCTGAGGCAGAAAAACTGTCCCGGCGGCACCAGGCCATTGGTGAGAAGGAGGCACGAGCCGCCCAGGCCGAGGAGCGAAAGTTCCAGCAGCACATCCTTGGGCAGCAGAAGAAAGAGCTAGCGGCCCTGCTGGAGGCACAGAAGCGAACCTACAAACTTCGGAAGGAGCAGCTAAAGGAGGTGAGATGGGGCTGCAGCAACGGACAGGGCCTGTGGTGGGTGAGGTGCCCTGACTCCCTGCCCTCCCCATGGCCTTGCCCAGGAGCTCCAGGAGAACCCCAGCACACCCAAGCGGGAGAAGGCCGAGTGGCTTCTGCGGCAGAAGGAGCAACTCCAGCAGTGCCAGGCAGAGGAGGAGGCGGGGCTGCTGCGGCGACAGCGTCAGTACTTTGAGCTTCAGTGTCGCCAGTATAAGCGCAAGATGCTGCTGGCCCGTCACAGCCTGGACCAGGACCTGCTGCGGGAGGTAGGCCACCCCACCCTCCATCCCCCACCCTCCATCCCCCTCCCCACAGCACAGGCACCTATTTTTCCCTCTACCCTCTTTCGTGCTGTGGTTTGGCTTCTCTTCCACACCCCTTGTTTCCTCGTGCCTGTCACCCTGCTAGAGCTCCCTGGGCTTCCATTCCCAGGCCAGCCAGCAGCTTGGCTCCTTTACACCCCTCAGCTCCCCATGCTCAGCTCCCTCTGCCAGGGAGTTCTGGGGCTCTCTTGACACCAACAAGGCTTCCTGACTGAGCTCTGGGCCCTGCCTCCCTTCTGCCTCAGGATTTGAACAAGAAGCAGACCCAGAAGGACTTGGAGTGTGCGTTGCTGCTGCGGCAGCATGAGGCCACGCGAGAGCTGGAGCTACGGCAGCTCCAGGCTGTCCAGCGCACACGGGCCGAACTCACCCGCCTGCAGCACCAGACAGAGCTGGGCAACCAGCTGGAGTACAACAAGCGGCGTGAGCAAGAGTTGCGGCAGAAGCATGCAGCCCAGGTTCGCCAGCAGCCCAAGAGCCTCAAAGTACGTGCAGGCCAGCGTCCCCCGGGCCTCCCGCTCCCCATTCCTGGGGCTCTGGGACCACCCAGCACAGGCACCCCTAGAGAAGAGCAGCCCTGCTCATCTGGCCAGGAGGCAGTCCTGAACCAAAGAATTCTGGGAGAGGAGGAGGAGGAGGAAGCAGTTCCAGAGAGAAGGATTCTGGGAAAGGAAGGGGCTACCCTGGAGCCAGAGGAACAGAGGATATTGGGGGAAGAATCAGGAACCCCTAGTCCCAACCCACAAAAACATAGTTTGATTGATGAGGAAGGTTGGGGTCTGCCTGAGGAGGAGATAGAAGAGCTTAGGGTCCCATCCCTGGCGCCCCAAGAGAGGAGCATTGTGGGCCAGGAGGCAGCTGGGGAATGGAGGTTATGGGAGAAGCAGGACGGGAGCCTCCTGGATGAGGAATTTGAGCTTGGCTGGATCCCGGGCCCAGCGCTGACCCCAGTCCCCGAGGAAGATGAGGAAGAGGAAGAGGGGGCGCCAATTAGGACCCCGAGGGATCCTGGAGATGGCTGTCCCTCACCAGACATCCCCCCTGAACCCCCTCCAACACGTCTGAGGCATGGCCCTATTAGCCAGCTCCCTGGACTCCTGTCCCATGGCCTCCTGGCTGGCCTCTCCTTTGCAGTGGGATCCTCCTCTGGCCTCCTGCCCCTGCTACTTCTGCTGCTGCTCCCACTGCTGGCAGCCCAGGGTGGGGGTGGCCTGCAGGCAGCGCTCCTGGCCCTTGAGGTCGGGCTGGTGGGCCTGGGGGCCTCCTACCTACTTCTTTGTACAGCTCTGCACCTGCCCCCCAGTCTGTTCCTCCTCCTGGCCCAGGGCACTGCACTGGGGGCTGTCCTGGGTTTGAGCTGGCGCCGTGGCCTTATGGGTGTCCCTCTGGGCCTTGGGGCTGCCTGGCTCCTAGCCTGGCCAGGCCTGGCTCTACCTCTGGCAGCTCTGGCAGCTGGGGGCAAATGGGTGCGGCAGCAGGGCCCCCGGATGCGCCGGGGCATCTCTCGACTCTGGCTGCGGGCTCTGCTGCGCCTGTCGCCTGTGGCCTTTTGTGCCCTACAGGGCTGTGGAGCTGTGGGGGACCGAGGCCTGTTTGCACTCTACCCCAAGACCAACAAGGATGGCTTCCGCAGCCGTCTGCCCGTTCCTGGGCCCCGGCGGGGAAATCCCCGCACTGCCCGACACCCGCTAGCTCTTTTGGCGAGGTTTTGGACCCTGTGCAAGGGCTGGAACTGGCGCCTGGCACGGGCCAGCCAGGGTTTAGCCTCCCACTTGCCCCCTTGGGCTATCCACACACTGGCCAGCTGGGGCCTGCTCCGAGGTGAGAGGCCCAGCCGTATCCCCCGGCTGCTGCCCCGTAGCCAGCGCCGGCTAGTGCCCTCTGCCTCTCGCCAATCAGCGCCCGGGACTCTAATTGGGCGGCGATCCCGACCCCGCCAGTCCCGGGCCCTGCCTCCTTGGAGGTAACCGACTAGCTCTTCCCCTGCCCGAATCTTAGAGCATCGAGCACTTTATTTCCCACTACTCAGTGAGGTTTCTCCAGTTCCAGTCCTCTCCTCCCTTTCACCCCTCCCTGCTTAGTACACTTCCCCACCTCAGCCCAGTCCTCTGGACCTCTAGACAGGCAGCCTCCTCCACCAGGAGTCCGGAAGTTACACTTTGTGTTCTCCTGACACTCCTCCCCACCCTAAGTTATTGCTGTTCTCCCACTGTGTGTGTGCTCATCCTCACCCTCATCAACTCAGGCCTGGGGCCAGGGGTGGCGGTGGGTGGGAAGTCATGTTTTTTTTTTCTCTCTTTGATTTTGTTTTTCTGTCTCCCTTCCAACCTGTCCCCTTTCCCCCACCAAAAAAAGAAAAAGACAAACACAAATAAAATATCTGAGCGGAACTGTACCTTTGGCCCAGGCTGCCTCTGTCTGCTTTGTCCTGCCGCCTAGCCTCCCCGGTATGCCCCCAGTCTGGACCCTTGGCCCCCAGTTCCATGACCTCTTCACCCCCATCTACGTTATCTTAACCCCTTTCACTCCTCAGCCTCATCCTCTCTGCCTTCATAGCTTCGTTGCACCATGACCACCACCAGCTCAGAGGTCTGGGCCCCTGTTGAGCTTCCACAGAACTTCTTGGCCCCACAGCTCCCCTGTTGGTGGGTTCTTTTCCAGAGAGTGTCCTTAGGTTCCGGGGCCTTTTGTCCTTATCACCTGCCTTTTGTCCCAGCCCCTTCCCTATGTGGTTCCCTTCTGGGAACTGAATATCTCCCCTGGCATTAATCAGGCTTTACCCTAGAGGGCTTGGGGAAGGGACTGCAAACTACAGTAGGGGGTGGTGAGTTTGGGGGGCCAGGCAGAGAGTGGGGGCATGGAAATGGGATTGGTTGTGGGCTTGGAGTGGGAGCTGAGTGTCTAAGGGGCTGGGCTGGGACGTGGAGATCTGGTCAGGGTAGCAGCTGCTGGCCCATTGAACCTGTCAGGCCCTTTCTGGCCACCTCCTTTGCCCCTTTCCCTTACGTGGCCCTAGATGGGGCCACCCCATCTTATCCATTTCTCAGCTCGGAGCTTATCCTCCTTCCCTCCCTCCCACCCTAAGGTGTTGAACCTGGGACTTTCTCTGTCTTTCCTTAGCTGTGTTGCTCTCTTCCATGGGTGTGTTATGTGACTTGGTTTTCTCACTCTTGTGCACGTTCTGTATCTGCTCACTTGGTTTCTGTCTCTGGGTTGTATTTCCTCTGTCTTTGCATGGTCAGAGCTTCTTGTGTGTACTCCGTACCCTAAAGATTCTCAGTTCTCTGTCCACGAATTCTCCTGCTGTTTCTTGTGTTTTCTACCCAACCCTGAACATGCTCTTGGAACATGCTCTTGTTTACTTGTATCTCTTGCCCATTGAGAATCTTCCTGATCTCTCTTCAGCACAATCCCATCTCTCCATGTCTGTCTGTATACAGCTCCCCCCGCCCCCTCTGTCTAACATGTTTTCTGTTTCTCTCCCTCTCCCTGTCTCTGCTTCTGTCTCCTCTCCTCCTCTCTCTCTTCTCCCCTTCTCCCCTGGTTGTTCCTCCTCCTCCTCCTCCTCCTCCTCCTCCTCCTCCTCCTCCTCCTC